TCGTGTTCGACGTCATGACCAAACAACTTGTTTGGTATGGTCATGTCAATAGGATGACGGAAGAGAGGCTGCCAAAAAAGATGCTTGATTGGGTTCCTCCTGGGAGGAGACGTAGGGGACGCCCAGTGCGAGGTTGGCGACAGGGGGTGTTAAATGAGATAAGAGATTGTCAACTCCCTGATGACCTGTGGGAAGACCGAGCTTTGTGGCGATTAGGCGTCGCACAGCGCCAAAGAGCGCTATAAAAGCGACTCATATATATATATAAGTTTAAACAGATTCTAATGTGAACATTGATGTCTCGCATATTAATTGACCTAAGAAATTTTCAGTTTCTCTGTCGTGTCCAGGGCAAAATTTTAATGAGAAATCATGTTTTGAGGTGTGTGCTGTGTTTCTAATTTGTGTCCTGTCTAGTGGTTTATTGTAGAGTGACACAACCTTGAAAGCACTGCATGTACTCAGGAGAAAGCCTCATGAATATTGCGAGCCGGACAAGATTTTGTTACTGAGCCCGTCATATACGCATTATTTCCAATTATTTCACCTTTGATTTATGTGTGGTTATCCGTAAGAGGTTTCTCAAGTTCGCTTCAAAAAGATCAGAATCAATATTCATCAGAGAAAATCTTGTTCCAAGAGCGAGAGACAGGCGGACACGAAAAAAAAAAGATTTGACCTCTCTGTAACTATCTCCTCATGAAAGTCTGCATGAAGGAGCAACCAATCTCACCTATTATACAATAAGGATATTATCAATATGATGATTCACAAAAGACTTTTTAATACTACTACACCTGTAGAAGTTTTTTTAAAAGCAGAAAGCCCTCTAAAATTTGACATTCAAATTCCACCGATCGAGTGTAGCGTTGGAAAATGTACATTATTGGGTTGGTTCAAATATCTTTAACGCTTTTTAGACTTTTTGTCCCTACCATAGGCATACAAAAAGTGATAAATCTAAGGGGAACTCAACTTTTGACAGCGATGCTCTTTAAATTTATCATGAATATAACGTGATCCAGTTAGTTGTGGCGGCAAAAAATAATTATGAAATATTAAAGCTTTATTTTATTTGAATTTAAGTTGTCCTTCAGAGTCTATACGATATAGGGTCAAAAAGTTTAACAAAATGTTAAAAGTTATTTGAACTAACTCTATGCAACAATCCCTTATAAAACCTGTTAATATCTTGATGTGTATTACATATCGACGGTGAAACTACCAAACCACGTATCTCGTTTGCGGTGTTTAAAAATCTACGCTCACATTTTATTTTTTTGAAGTAGACCAAATCAATATCATTCCTTGAAATTTTCACGGAATTTTCTCCGCACAAAGAGGAAAAATCACAGAAATTTTCAAGACTGGATGTTAAGTAGTTTTTCATTTAAAAAATAAAGTATGACAGGAAGTCTGCGACGTCGCAAACCGAGATACGTGGTATGGTAGTTTCACCGTCGATATATTATTCCTTTAAGAAAGGTATCACTGAGAGACAAAGTTTTATCACATGAATCGCAGTGCGATATTGCGTATTGGAATTGCTAATTGATTCATGTAAACGTACTTTAACGGTTGACGTGACGGCACAGGTACCCCAGGTCTATCCAACCAAACTTTTTCCCCGCAATTTCATCATGGGCGGAACTTGGAACTTTCTGTGGACGGGGTCAGGAGGGCACCTCTTCATGGGGAGTCTAAGGGGCACAGAAAGAAACCCCAATCGATGTAGAGCTAAAGGGCTTTAGCAACTCCAAAGGGAGGTTCGGAGGGACTTCCATAGCTGTGAAGGGAGGTCCACGGGGTCTCTTTGGAAAAATTTTGAAACTTATGCGTGTCATGCAATTATTTAGTAAAATCCATAAACTTTTCTGGAGGGAGCTGAGTAGCGATCTCTCCGAGGAAAAGGGCAGAGGTAGGCCCCCTTCATCCCCCCATAGTTCCGCCCACGAATTTGAATCAAGTTTACATTTCGGCCACATGAACCGAGGTACGTTTGCATGAACCGAAGATTATGGCGAATACAGAAATAACTGTGACTCATATCGTCGTTTTTCTCACGAATGGACGTAACTCTATTTCAATGTTGCCAAATTTCTCCTCGCAAATTGCGTATTAACGAAGAGAATCTTGGGCATTTCTAACATTTCTAACCAGTGAAAATTTCACTGGTCTCCCCTCAGATCTCATGTAAAAATCAGAGAAATTTTGGATACAATTTGCAAAGGTACATGTGTGTAAAAAAATTAATTGCTTGAGTGAATCTGGCAACCTTTGAATGGAGTTACGTTCCCTCATACGGGAAACACCGTAATGACCGAACGTCCATTTCAGCTACTGCTCTCATTCCATGTCCGTCAAAAGTTCCGGAAGTCGGAACTTTTTTGTTCCAATTCCTCCTACTCCATAACCGTCAAAATTTTTGGAATTCCTTTTAGATTGTTCAAATGTTCCAAGAACGATCCGGAAAATTCAAAAGATCCGGAACATTTCGTGAATGGACCACCAGACAAGGTACAAATTTTAGCATTCTGATACATGTTTTGTAACTAAAATTTCACGTAGAACACGATGCGCACAACGAAAATTACCAAAATCAACTCCTTACGAAGATATTTATTGATTCTTGATGCGTGAATTCAAACCACCCGCTCATGAAAACTCAATGCTCTACGTGCTTCACATCGCGCGCTAACGTTATCATGACAGTCTCTGCGATATAAAAATCTGTCAACCTCAATCTTGACGCTTTGGCTCAGCTATATATCAAATTGCTGATAGTTTGAACAACACATGGTCGGAAATGAATATTGCTCGATTAAGAAGCTTGCTGAAACCTTTGTAGTGCGCGATTTGACTCACGTAGAGCTTTGAGTTTCTTGTGAGCGGGCAGTTCAAATTCCTCGTAACCAATGTGAAATTAAAACGTTAATATCTTCGTTAGGAGTTGATTTCAGTAATTTTCGTTGTGTGAATCGTGTTCTACGTGAAGTTCTGCGGTTAAGAAACATGTATCAGATTGCTTAAATTCGTACCTTGTCTAGTGGTCTATTTCAAAAGTTTCGGGGAAAATTTAGGAAAATCTCAAAAGTTCCGGAAGTCGGAACTAGTCCCGGGAAATGGGAGCACTGACTCAGCATGTGTTTTCAATTTGTGACTAATCCCGATCCGTTTGTTTCGTTTTGGTTGCAGGTTCTGCTCCCCTGCCGAATCATCGCGAAACCGGGGATGACTCCCTCCGAGCGAAAATGACGAAAAGGAGGGCTCGAAAAAGACCTTGCGGACCCCGGAATCACCACGACTCCAATCAATGAGCAATGACGAACACTTCAGAGTCCAGAGCGTGACGCAGCATTCATAATCCTCGGTGTTGAGTTCCTAGAGATACGCCCGCCATTGTACGATGAATCTCAGGGGGTTGAGCAGTCTGAACGCGGGGTTGATAATCGTCGCAATCCTTCTGAGATCCGCGCGTTGCCAGGGGGACGGGGTCGAGGGGGACGAGGGGATCGGGACGGAGGACTACTCCGTGACGGGGTACGAACCCGGGACCGCGGGTCCGGCGACCGAGTTCTACGTCGCGGAGACGAGTGAGACGACGACGACGACGGTTTCGACTTCTGGACCGAGCGCCTCGGATTCCGAGTCCGGGGAGACGGCTACCGTCTCGTACAGGGATGCCATGTCAATAAATTACTACCCCAGCAGGAGAGAGCGGCCGCCCAAAGAGAATGAGGTAAGTGTAAGTCGGCTATTTCCATCTTTATGGGGGGGGAACGTCCGTCTTTTATGCCCGCTTAACCATGAAACGCGCGGCGCGGCGCACGGTGGACCTAGAGTCCCTTTATACTGAGAGTCAAGACAATTTGAATCCATTTCTGATTGGTTCCCGTATTTTAGGCCTCCACAGTGTCACAAACGGGAATAAAGATTACATTTTCACCGATTGCAAANACTGAAAATATATTGTGTCAAAAAAATGAAGGCTCCTTGACAAACTTAGAGTCCCTTCATACTGAGAGTCAAGACAACACCCACCCCCCATGGAGTCACAAACGGGAATAAAGATTACAGAAATTAAACGTTTTTTGTAATCTTTGATCGGCCCATTCTCAATTTCCTTTCTCCGTTCCTTCTCTCATCCGTTTGTTCCTTGCCGAACCCGTAATTCCCTGGTCCATTCCAGATTATAATCTTTGCAATCGGTGAAAATGTAATCTCCATTCCCGTTTGTGACACAGTGGAGGCCTAAAATACGGGAACCAATCAGAAATGGATTCACATTGTCTTGACTCTCAGTATAAAGGGACTCTAGGTGGATCCAGTCGATCAGAGAGGTCGCACATTATATTTTTGACTAAAACCGGCACGTTTTGATATCTCATTCGTCGCATTTTAAATTATGAGGGATGTTTCTAAAAGAAAATTTTACGAAGAAATCGTTAGAGTCACTTTTAAAACCTCAAATTTTTGTAATAACGGAGTTTCAAGCGTTTTAAAGTTTCCAAATTTTGTCCGACCCCACCTATTGCCTCGATCCACTGTGCGGCGCGGAGTGGAGCGTCCTCATCCGTGATCCAAAAACCCCGCTTCACTGCATTTGATGGGCGCCGGGATGGAGGCCAAGGTCATGGTCCAATCCAGCGCACCCATCCCGTCAGCTTGGCTCAACGCTCTTAAGTTGCCCTTGTTTCTCGTCGGAGGATCGGACGTGCTGAAACCACCCTCAACTTTCAAGTTCGAGGGACTGCATTTTGCAATAAAGAACTACGATTTCGAGATCATCCATAAAATCACGTATCTACATAGGGAAACTAATAGTACAGACGGTGATTCTCAAATGAGCCAGAAAAAGTAGTTTCTTAATGCAAAATGCAGTCCATTCATGTATTTGTCACTTTCCACCGGAAAAGTGTATTCAGCGTAGCAATTGACGAGATCGAGCCATGTCGATGGTGTAAGTCGGCAATCTCATATCTCGTTTGCGGTGTTTGAAAATCTCCGCCTCTATGTTATTCTTTTGAAGGAGAACAAATTGACATCATTCCTTGAAGTTTTTGCAGAATTTTTTTCGTGCAGAGAAGAAAAATCACGGCAGTTTTAAAGAATTGCCGTTGAGTAGTTTTCATTTTAAAATATAAAGTATGACAGGAAGTCTGCGACGTCGCGTCGCAAAACGATATATGTGATTGACGACTTACAACGTCGATATGTATCATTGCGTGAACATATATACGGCGCATTTCAGGCTGTAAATCCGAGAAGAAACTGAGAATTCGCAGAACCGAGTATGAAAACCCGGATGAAACAAAGTTTTCGGAATATTTTTGATCGCAATGTTTTAAGAAGAGACATTTTGGTTAAACTTGTTGTAAAACGCGAATAGAGGACAATTCTAACATGCTGAGGAAGAATTATCCTTCTAGCTAAGTAATTACAATATCAGCCGGCCCTGCATTATTTTTACAGTCAGGAACCATTGCAAGTGCAAACATTTTTTTCGTATGCTTTTCGAGCCTTTACCGACATTCCGCCAGAATTTTCAGGTGTTGCTTCATACCTCCTTGCCCTGGGATTTTCTGAAGTGTCTCTCATGCATGTGCGCAGAGATTTCTATTTTTGAGGTACTTTCATAACTACAAGTTAAGAAGATTTCAGAGAACGTCTTGCAATTTTTTCCGAAGAATTAGCGATCAGAAATCTTGGAGAAATATGCAAACACTCAAAAAAAGGTATGACTCTGAGACCCATAAAAAATGGCTCGGAGATCCATAATTTCTGACCAAAGTGACTTACCGTCTACAGTATGGCTTTCCGAGCCATACTTTATTGGTCGTGAACCTATAAGCATGGTCCCACGAACTATATTTTATGGCTCCATGATCCATAACTCGGCCGGTAAGTCACTCTTTCCATACTTGTTTTTTGAGTGGACGTTAGGAGTATAAAAAATCAGGCTCAGCTGTCAATGGGATTGCGTATAACAGAAACTCATTAAGTTACAGAGGAAAGGATAGTAATTTACAAGTCACTGTAAGCTAAAAAACAAGGATGCTAGTCTATAGAGGTTCTAAATCCTAAAAAGAGCCCCATGACACCCAAAATTTCAGTCTCAGGGCCTCTCTGAATCCGTCTTTTAGAATTCGAAAGCCCTCGGAAGATCTTTAATAAAATAAAAACACCCANGGGGGGGGGGGGGGGGGGGGCGGAGTGCTACAGCATCCCGGCAACCCGGTTTGTCCGGCTCTGGTGGAAGGTGTTCTAATTGTAGACTTAAGGTTGAATTTTCGCACCTATAAGGGATGGAGAAAAACAAATTTAAACCTCTTTTTCTCTGGTACAACAAATTTAATTCGGTTCCTTTCCATCATTTCAGCGACTTCTCCTCACATGCTAAAACTAGCCCTTGGTCATACACGAGTTCACATCCTAACCACGGCTGATGTCGAAATGTTACGGATAGATTTCTCTCGCTTAGCGCTGTCCTGAAAAGCTGGCCGCCGCGCTATGCTGCTGTGCAGGATTGTAAAACCGGAGAATGATCCGACGAGGCGACCATAAGAACAGAAAATAATAGCAAATAAAAACAAGGGAAAATCAGGATCCCATTCGGAAACACAATGAAAATATCGGCGAGCACATAAAAATTAATTCGATCCGCGGATTCGGAAGGGAGAGGGGGAGAAAGGGGAGGGAGGGACGCTCGAGGTGCTGAAATTATGTTGCTCCGCGCCGCAACAGCTACCTAATTCTCACCGGTGTGATGCCCTGTGCAGAATTCGCTCCGCACAGGGAGCTGAACTTATATTTCCGCAACTCCTCTGGCTAAGGTGATTCGATGGACGCTATATTTTGTGTCAGAACGAAATGCGATATATTGCATCAATTGGTTCCATTTTTTCGGCTACTCGTCATTTTCCTCCAATTTTGAGATCGCAATTCTGTTGTCAGGAGACTAAAGCACTCACTTACCAATTTTAACAAAGAAATTCAACGTAATAAAGGCGTGGTTTTTTTAGAGGAAAAAAATATCACATTCGAGTGCAGTTTCGATATCAGTATCGAATCCGATGTTTTCTCTCTAAAAATCATCGAGACTGAGTCAGGAGACTAGTCTCCTGACAACAGAATTGCGATCTCAAAATTGGAGAAAAATGACGAGTAGCTGAAAAAATGGAACCAATTGATGCGATATATCGCATGCCGTTTTGACACAAAATATGGCGTCCATCGAATCACCTTAAGAATATCTCCGAAGAAGGGTGTACTAGTGTTTTTTTTTTTTTTTTTTTTTTTTTTTTTTTTTTTTTTTTTTTTTTTTTTTTTTTTTTTTTTTNTTTTTTTTTTTTTTTTTTTTTTTTTTTTTTTTTGGAGCACGAGAGAATTTTTCCGTGAAATATCAAAATCCCATTTTTCGGCATAAGTTATAATGAACCCTGTAAGTAGCATTTTTAGACGGAATAATTGTGCACTGAGAAAAAACTATGGCTTATAAACCTATTAGAGGTAAATATGGAACACCACTAATAGTAGTACCTCTACATATAATAATAGCACATATACCTTAGTTATGGTCTCTGTACCTTAATTAGGTACAGAGACCTTAGTATGGTTCACAGACCGAGAATCATTAGTTTATTTACGACTATTATAGGTGTTCCATATTTACC